ATATATATACACTGTATATATGCAGCCTCGGTGAGCATAAGAGACTTCTTTGAAAAAATGAATAAAAAAAAAATCTTACCAACCCCAAACAAAAAAGCTTAATTAAATAGTAATATGCATTTCATTTTTGGTCATAAGGCCCAAAGGTTTTGGCATTTTCTAGCCATTTATATTTCTTTCCACCAAAAAAAAAAAAACTAAACTGGCCAGTACCTCAACATTTCAAGTAAGTTTACAAGCATTTGAAACTAGGGGAGTATCAAGCGCTACTTTTGTTCACTTTCACATCTTGTGTAAACTCAACACCTATTTCTAGACATAATGTGAAACTCTGCCCTCTATAGGTGAAATGCAAAGTCTGCAGCACTGGGATATTGATGTACACAATGTTTCTCTGAGGACTGACAAATGGAGAACACCTAACAAACCAGAATGACTCATGAGGACATGTGATGTTAAACCATTACTAATGAAGTGCATGTGGGATCACAACTAAATCACAAACATGTTAGCAATCATTCAAGAATAAATCATCTCAATTTAAATTCTGTCATCATTTATTTTAGTCATTCTCATGTCTTTCCAATATCATCATTTATTTATTTATTTGAAATAGGTCACTAGAGCAGCTTACCGACTTCTTTTGTGTTCGTCACAGACATTTACAATCACATGAGGGTGAGCAATGACAGAATATTCATTTTTGGGTGAACAGTTTCTTAATACAGCATACTCATCACAGTCACCTGTGCAACTGTCCCACCCACACGTCCTGTAGTTACACCAATAGTCATTAACCTTTACCAGGTAAAGGTTTCTGCTCCTTTTAAGCCTTTAGGGTCATGAAAAACCGGCCTTTTCATGCACAACTCACTCACCTCCTGCAGTTTCTCATTTTCCTCCATGTATTTTTTCGCAGCATCATTTGCTCCCTCCGCCTGCTTTTTAAAGGCTTCATTAGAGGCCATCAGTGTTGCCTGCTGAGACAGCAGTGTGGCCAGACGTCTCAACAGCCTGGAGGGGAAAAAAACAACATCAACTCATCAGACACGAGTGGATTTACTAAACAGTCAGTGTGTAGCTGATCGTTACGGCTCACCGCAGCAGCAGCCTACGTTACGATTCTGCATTATACAGATACAGACTTTGGCATAATTATTGGTGCTTGAAAAGGCAACGATCTCTATAACTATTATTTGAACAAACCTCTAAATCTAAAAACTGAACTTCATGGCGTAATTCGTCCCACACATTTGTGCTCCAGACATCAACTACTTTATGATGGATGGTATTAAACAAACAAAAGTATTCAATATTAAACATATCATTTATATATAATTATATCTACACCTGTCATCCGTTTGAAACCTGACACACTCTGAGGAAGGCTGAAGGCCGAAATGCATCAGCGTGCAGAGTTTTAGGCATTTTTAATGTTTATTGAGTTGGCCAGAATGTGAATAATGGCTTTTTAACTCTTTTGGACTAGAAGAAGTGTCTTGGATTCTTCATTTATTGTGAAATTAAAATATTGGTTTTCTATTTTAATATACTTTAAAATATTTATTTCTGTGATGCAAAGCTGTATTTTCTTCAGTCATTATTACTCCAGTGTTCAGTGTCACATGATCCTTCAGAAATCATTCTAAATGTACTGATTTTATTATCAATGTTGTAAACAGTTGTGCTGCTTAATATTTTTTGGAACCTGTGATACTTTTTTTAGGATTGTTTGTTGAATAAAAATTTAAAAAAGAACAGCATTTATTCAAAATAGAAATATTTTCTAACAATTTAAGTCTTTACCATCACTTTTTTTTTTTGATCAATTTAACACATCCTTGCTGAATAAAAAAAAAGAAAAGAAAAAATTATTACTGAACCTAACATTTGAACGGTAGTGTATATTTTTACAAAAAAAAAAAAAAAAACTATTTTAAATACATGCTGTTCTTTTTAACTTTTTATTCATTAAAGAATCCAGAAAAAAGTATATAAAGTATATAAAAGTATAGAAGTAAATAAAAGTATATAAAATCATGAAACTCAAGAGTATGAGCACTTTGGCACACATATCTTCATTTGAATAACATGTTAATTTTACATGCAAATCTAAAAGGGAGAAGTCAAATCTGAGCATACATGCCTATTTTTCTAAGTGGACTACAGAAATAACATCTCTCTAAATAGTTAGATCCAAAATCTGAGATTGGTTGACATAGCATCGCTCCAGAAACATGCGTGACACTTCTAGGAAACACCGATGTGTATTAGACAGCACGACAAAAATCAGCATAAACAAATGAGTATCTACTGCTCGACCATAAGCAAATATATCACATGGTTTTCACCAGCGTAAACACAGTGTATAGCTTTTAGCTATTTTCCTCACTCTACACAGTCAGTCTTCTACAGTTTCATAGAGCCAGATGAGCTGAGAGATGCAGGCTGATGACATCTGAACCGTGAGCTTGAATGCAGAAGCTAAAGGCTGCGTGCATCCCCTTCATGTCAGTGTAAAAGGGTTCAAGGCTTCGGAAAAAGTTGTTGTGACCAAAATGCAGATGGGTTGAACCATGGACAACCGCAACTTGCATAAATGCAAGAGAAGCCCACAGTTTGGTCAAACGCTCTGTAACAAGGTAATATGAGGCGACCTACAGTAGATTCACTTTAACCTCTCCTGATTTTTAAATTGGCCAAATATAAGAAAACAAGTCATTTTTAGTTTGCGCAAGTGTTTATACAGTACAGACATGTTAACTCAAATACAAACAAAACAATAATTTAAAAAATTGAATATTTTCACTGCAATAATGTCCTGTTCAAAAATTATTTCCATTAGAATCATAATAAATTAAAGGCAGTACAACAAATACTGCATATACAAATCATGTATAAATACCTTACTTTTTTTAATCTATATTTTAAATAAAGAAAAAAAAATTTATTGCCATGAAAATAATGCTACAAAACTTACTGGTCCTAAAAATAGGCTTAATTTTCTCTCTAATATTTTTTGGGTGGTGAAATATGACCCTTCTTGATATAATCTATGAAATTAAAAATTTAAATATTAGATTATTTTGCAATAAAAAAAAGTGTGTCTTGAATACTTGGTCATATTTAAGGTTAGATTATTAAACATTTTCAAATAATGATGACTGGTTATATGTAGATAATATCAGAATCAATAAAGCCAGAGAAGAAAAATAAAAAAATAAATAAATACAATTATAATATCAGATACATGTGTATAAAATGTCAAAAGGAAAAGAGAAAAAAGAGTTCCAAACATCCATAAAAGATTAATTTACTTCAGAAGACATTAGAAAATATATCTTTAATTTAATGTATTTCTTACCCCACTAACAATTTTTGTCCTATTTTAAGCATAAATCTAACTAAGTTTTGTAAGGTGTCAGTGGACTAAGACAAATAGACTGCATTTAGTGTATATTGTCTAAAAACAAGTTATTTTTCAATGTTTCCCATTATCTTGCATTAATCGCTTAACAGCCATTTCCAATGTACACTGGAAATGTCCACACAGCTACTGCACCCTAACATGCCTGAAGCACGTCAAACCGTCATGCGCCACTTTAGTCACCTTTGTGGCATCTGCGTGTTTGCTGGCAAGGTGGAGGAGGGCCATTTTGTGACAGGAGTCGTGGCCTTTCTGCCAGTGAGAATGCCATGAACACAGGCTAAATATAATGCCTGTCACCAGTTGCTTGATCACATGTCCTGCAGCTGTCCGTGTGATTACGAAAACGACACTCAAGCCCGGCAGGCAAGGGAAGTAGTATCGCTAATGGATGTAGTAGTCATCTGGCAGGATATAAATAACCTGCCATTCAGAGAAAATATGGTGAAACCCCTGTAAGGAAAAACTATGCAGAGCTGGGAGACTCTCAAATGTTAAGAATAGAGCGCAACAACGAACCAGCCAATCGGGAAACAGTGTGGGGGACCCCCAACCAGCTCAACATAAGATTCTTTCCATGTCTACTGTAATATAGCGGCATATTCTGCTCTTCGTCTGTCCCACACCTGTACACAATTCATTCACATTTTGTGACTATAAATAAAGACACTGTCTCCAATAGGGTGGGGATGCAAGATAAATCTGTGCTGGAGAAATTAGGAAGCTAATTGGCATGACAGGTAAGTAATTTATGCAAACAGAACATTAATAGATTATAAATAAAGCAGGCCCAGGGTTAAGGAGAGGACCTATAATGATTTTTGGTGCATTTAACTATTTTGACTTTTGAACTACCAAAAATGAGCAAGAGGGTGGCTAACCGCACACTGATCCACTCAAGACTAAAAAGTCTAAAAACATATTTAAAATTTTTATAAATTGCATTGTGCAAAAGTGCAAAGTGCATGTGAATGTGACTCTGCAATCTGTTTTGGTGGCATTTTATAGGCTTTTCATCTTTAAAAAATGGATGCATTTAAATGCACAAAATATTTAATTAAACTAAAATTAAATGCACAAAGTATTTAATTAAATAGAAGGGTCTAACTATTGCATCACCCTGGTCCCCTCAACAAAAACCTAAACGGATTTTTCTCTTCAGTCTTTATTAAAAATCTACAAGCAGTAAAGTAAGTATAGTTTGCAAGATTGAAGTATAAATACAATGAGGCTGTGAAAGATGATGGTTCTGAAAATAGATTAGAATATATTGATGGTTGTTGGTTAACCACAGAATTAAAAGCAAAAAATAAATAAATCATTGACTTTGTGATAATGGAATTTAAAGTTTCTGGGTTTTCGGACTGGGTCACATTTCAAAATAAAGTCTCTTATGGCTTCTATATAACATTTTTACTGAGTAAAGTCTAGATTATTTATTGTCATATGACAGATATAAACATTTTAGCCATTTCACCTTTTGAAGTTCCCCTTATCATTCTTATCACAACGAACAGTACACTCTGTAAAATCATATCTCATATCAATAACTTTGATAATATTTTAACAAAACATCACTGATAAAATTTCTCACAAGAATATCTTTTATTGTGACACAAATACCCTATCTGTCCTGAATATCCTTGAGTGGGCGGGCGGTCTGATTTGATTGACAGATGATTTCTGCAGCACTGTGCTGTAACAGGCTACAGTGACAGTTGAGAAGTGTTATGGAAATTAAGGACAAAACCTAGTAAAAACAACCTGTAGCAAAAAAACCCTGTAGGGTACTATTTTACACACAAGCTTAATGCGAGTACAAAAAAAGTCTGAGTAAATATGTTATTTGCCAGTTGGCTGGTAATACCGGGGGTACCGCAATATAATACATACAATGAAACAACTTGTGCATCTGCACTCCTCAGGGACAGAACATGGCGAACCCAATGACCCTGTTTGGAGGGTACGGTTGAAGTTCTGTTTACAAGCATGGTCCAGAAATCTGCTGGGAGCCGTCAACGAAAATGAAATCAGGCCGTGCCATGTAGCTGATCGTGTTCAGAAACTGGTGCCAAAGCTCCAGTGCCAAAGCGAGACATGTTGAGGTGGGCAAAATACAGAAACGAGAGAGACCTGCGGGAGCGAGTACCATAGAAAATGAGAGAGACATGGGGAAAAACACTCACAAACACAGGAGCAGAGCGAAGCCGGCGATGTATTCGTTCCTCTGGGCTCTGAAGAGCTTCATGTGGATGTGCTCAATGGCCACGGGGTTGTTGCTCAGATCCACTTTCTCTGTCACACTGTATTTTCTCACTTCTCTAAATGCATCTGTAGTGGCAGAAACAAAAACTTTCATTTCGATTTTTTATTCATAAATCTAGTTCAATCAAGGCAAAACTCATAGCGAGAAATTGCTTCATTTAAATGTTTGTAGGGCTGTCAAAATGAACGTATTAACAGATAAATATGTTTTTACTTTAATTATTGCATATAGTCATTCATATTCTGAATGTTCTGACCCCGAATTTTGAAAGGTAAGTGTATGTTAATGATCTTTCATGACTAACTTTTTCATATACAAAATGAGTAACCCTGCCAAGCTGCTGAGCATTGAGATGTAAATATAGGCAGTCATATCCTCATGAGCTCATTATGACATCAATCATAATGACAGCAATCATTTCTGAATGACCTGCTTTTGCAACTTTTAATAATGATACATCCTCTTTAACATCATATTATAGATTTACACAGGAACTTTGAACAAGACTGGTTAATGAGAACAATGCAGTGAGGTGTTTTCAAGCTCACCTACGAGCAGAAAGACAAGAATACAAATGATGACAATGAAGGCAGTGTTTCCATACGTTGCGATGACAGTGACCAGTCTAGACTTGAAAAATTTGCTCCATCTACAAAGGCAACAACAGAGATAACACCTTAATAAACAGAGGGCAAAAGAGCACATACGATAACAGTAATCTTTCTCAACAAGTCCAAAGAACATCATTCAAATTTACATTTCTAACACACACCAAAAAAGGAGCACATACAGATGCCTTTGAGAAGCATTTCTTGTTTTTTTCTCTTGATGAGTCTGTGCAAATACACCAATTCTCAGAGTGTATCTGCGAGATTCTATTGCAATATGTTGTTTACCAAGTGTCCCAACCTTTAAATTGATTGGAAGGTCATGTGAATGCTCTCGAATTAAGAAATGACTCCCTCACAAGATTCTTTTCATGGAATAAAAGCATTGAACAGAATTGAATTATCCTGGTAGTGCTGGAATCAAAACATCCAACTCAGCTCAACTCTACCAAATACTCAGAATGATTTAATTGTTTTAAGGCTGTTAACACGGCAACAATATTTCGCCACAAATGGACAGATTTCAGTACTGGCAACACTCTGGGATCTTTCCTGGAAAGAGGCTAAGTTGAAGAAAACTGGTGCAAGAGAATAAAATGGATCAGAAGTGAAATAAAAGTTTTCAGAACCTGATGACTATCAGAGATTATTAAGAGGAACCACACTTAAAGGAACCAATCTGCCAAAAATTTAAATTTGTTGTATTTACATCCAAAATGTTGATGAGTTTGTTCCTTCATTAGAACAGATTTGGAGAAATTTAGTAAATTATAAAACAGCTGATATTACATCACAAGATGTTAATTGATGGACTGGAGTGGTGTGGATTATTGTCAGCTGTTTGGACTCTCATTCTGACGGCACCCATTCACTGCAGAGGATCCATTGGCGAGCAAGTGATGTAATGCTACATTTCTCCAAATCTGTTCTGATGAAGAAACAAACTCATCTACGTGCTGGATGACCAGAGGTTGAGTTAATTTTCAGCAAAATTTCATTTTTGGGTGAACTGTGTTTCAACAACTTCGGAAACTCACCGTTTTGGGGAGATGAAAGGGACACAGAGCAGCAGTACCGCAAACACCTCGGCGTACAGAAACGTAGCCACGGCTGTCCATTGAAGACTCATGACGGCTAGTCTATAAACACATATCAGCAATGATCAGCCAAACAGATTACATGCACATCACTAACCACCAGACCCTGAAAACATAAATTAGCATTAAACATGATATGCACAAGGTTTGGGAAAATATAAGTCTGAACAAAAGCCAAGGGGCAAAACACACCCATTCCTTTTATTTATTACCATGTATGAAATCAAATGCAGACACTCAAGTCCTCTGGTGATACTCATTAAAATCATAACTGATACAACAGCACCATCTTATGTTTACTACAGAATAGCCCCAGCTATTCATCCACAAGATGAAATCATTTCTGAGGCCTTTACAAATTATGAGACACGACCAATAACCAATTCACGTCAAATACAAAGAAAAACAACTTCTTGGTTTTGTAGTACATCATCCCAACTCCCAAAGAGCAAGTTCGCTCATTAAATAGAAGAAAATTAGCAAGTGCAGGTGTATTCATCAAATAATTCATAGTAGATAAAAAAAATTAAAGGCAGGAAATCATTCTTTTACACCTAAATGTTTGATAATAAGGGAAGGAATAAATATTTGTTGATAGATCTCATCAAATATATTACATATGAATGAATGAATTACAAATGGACTGCGTCAACTACATCTGCTTAGACTGGCTGCAAAAAAACGGAAAATAAGACTTAAAACTACTAGACGGTAATAGACATATATGTCTGTAAGTATAATGGGAATGCATATGTAAACAAACACATAGACATAACGTTAAACATGTCTCTGTCAGAGTAGTACAATACGCTGTTATTTAAGGTTCTCATACAATTACCCGCATTCATAAGAGCTCTACTTATGACTGAAGTGTAGATAATTAAATAATTGTATTAGAACTTACCGAACAGAAAGAAATATTCACAGAAAGGCTTGCAGATACGTGTCACAACTTCTGCTGCACTCTGACTACGCTCCACATGAATCTACTTCCGGTATGTGTGCCAACTCATTCTACACATGACCACTTCCCGCGTCGAGGCCAGGAAATGCTTGCGTAAAAGTCTCCTTTCAATAAAATAGAATGAAATAAAAATATGTATTAACAATTAAAGTAAAATAATCCTTCACTTAAATAATTACAAACAATTAAAGTAAAACACCCTGTAATTTTCCATTGATTTTTCTATTGAGAATAATATGTGGGAATATCTGGTAATAGCCTATGTGGAAAATTGGACACCAGAGATTTTGGGGTTAAAACCCTCAAAACAGTGTTGCCAACTTAGCAATTCTGTTGCTAAATTTAGCAACTTTTCAGACTACCCTAGCAACTCTTTCTCCCAAAAGCACCTAGCAACAAATTTAGCTATTTTTAAATTTTATTTGGCTACGTTTAGCAACTTTTGATAAGTGGCTCAAACAATAAAAAGGCACACATTTTCCATCTAAATTTCACAAATAGAGGAAACCAAAGATGCCTAGCAGTACACGCATCACGTGAATTAAGTTACTGCTATTTGCAGTTGTTCAATTTGATAATAACAATAATAATTGAATAATTGTTCATTTATGATACACCTCGTTAGTAGCTTGTACATGTGATTGTTGATCAGTTAGTACACTGTAAGAAAAATATCTACAAAAATTGCAAAGGTACTAATAATTTTCCAGGACATTATCCGTTATCCGTTGTAACCCGAAACACAAAATGCAATGCGTAATTTAAAATGCAGGTAAAAACCTGTGATTTATTTTCTTAGAGTGTAGCATACTGACTACTAATGCACTGCTTAAAACTATAATTGTTCAGAATGTGTAGTTTTACTAGTTTACTAGCTAATGAAAAAAACTTGTAATCGTTCAAAAATGTAATCGTTCAAAGGTGTTCAATGTTGTATATAAAAAAAGTTCTTTATATTTGAACATTATATTATGCATTTATATTATTTTACGAACAAATCTAAATTAACATATAAAAATATGTATTTTTTTAATGTAGTGATACAATTTTGCGTCGTGATTACGTAATGACTTCATCACGCAATGACATCACAACGTCATTTAGCAACTTTTAGCAACAAATAGGCCTTCCTTTAGCAACTTCCCCTGAAAATGAGTTGGCAACACTGCCCCAAAATCGATTATAGATTATTGTGATGACATATTTGTGTAATAACATCAACTAGGCAAATCACACTCAAAACAATGTTTATTCCATACATAAATACAACCATACTTATTATTCATGATTATACATTCAGTTTAGTTTTAGATCTGCTCCCTTGAATAGTGACATGATAAGGCAATTATATGTTCAAAAGCCTACTGCTTTTCACATTTCACTGCTGCTCAGCAATTAAAAATATAGGTATATTAAAACCAAACTCATCCAAAAAGAGCACAGTGACTATACACAAAGTGTTTAGGTCAGAAATGCAGTTGTTGTAATCTAAAGAGGTGGACTCTTTTTATTGACAAATATAACATAAAAATGGAGTTTAAATCTGAAAGTGCACTCTGGAGAAAATAAAGTTTGCTTGATCTTTAAAAGTGTATGTGATCCTATGTCACACATAAGACAGCTGAAATGCATAAGGCACTACAAAAAGCACTTTTAAAGCATTAATGCATACACAAGAAAAACTTTAGTAAAAAAAACAATACTATACTATACAATTATTTCATAATAAGGCAGCACCTTTTGAATTCCAAGTATGATGAGGATTTTCATTCATTTTTCCAGTTCCAGCATACAAAACACAAAATCTGTTTACATTAGTATTATACCGTTACCGTCAGTCAATCACAAAATCAAATGTATAACAATAGTGAGGTATCATCAGCATAAATATGAGCTTCCATAAAGTAAGTCAGCACAGTTTAGTTTAGACGTACCGTCATTCATAAGAGTTTAATATTGTGAGCATAAGGCACTTGAAATATAACCCTCATCTTTTCCTTTGGAAACAGGGCAGGAGTGTAGGACCTGTATAGGCACAATGTGTTCTCATCATCTTTTCTCATTTATCATGTTTCTTCAGTTTCCTTTCTTCTTTCCTGGAGCCTTGGGACTAAAAGTGACAGAAGAGAGAAAGAAACGACACATTTATTGTGCGGTTAAAAGAAAAACAAAGCAAGAATATGCTATTTAGTGTTATATATTTCTCTACATATGTGGACTGGTTCACATTATGTGTATCTGTCTGTCACTATATGCTTGTTTTTACACACACAAGTCAATGCATTCTTGAATATTATACACAGAGGTAAATATGTTGTAAAACATACCCAGCAATTTCACATTGCTCGTTGGGAAATGTATAATTGAGTTGTGCTTGCATTTTATATTCCCATTACACAGTACATGAATGAAAGTATGTGCAACTTTGTAATTCACAGATGTAGCTATTTCAACTAAACCCATCATTAACAAGTGTAAAAAAAAGTCAATGGGTGCCGTCAGAGTCTAAACAGCTGATAAAAACATCACAATAATCCACAAGTTTTTGTACAAACATGCTGCTTTTCACTTCACAAGACGATAATTGATGGACTGGTGTAGTGTGGATTATTGTGATGTTTTTATCAGCTGTTTGGACTCTCATTCTGACGGTACCCATTCACTGCACACGATCCATTGGTGAGCAAGCGATGTAATGCTGCATTTCTCCAAATCTGTTCTAATGAAGAAATAAACTCATCTACATCTTGTATGACCTGATGGTGAGTACATTTTCAGCAAATGTTCATTTTTGGGTTCCTTTAAAATAAGCATTCATTTAATAGTGTTCTTTTCTGCATGACAGTGTCCCTTATGCATGGTCCACGAAGATGATATTTGCTCCATCGTTAGTTGAAGGCCTTCCCAGAAAGGCGGAGGCTTTTAGGAATTACAATGTTCATGGAATTAAAAGTTGAACAAGCATGTGGTGTGGTTTCCTCATACTTTTAGCCATGCGGTTTATTTAAATAAGAGTTCAGTTAGTGGTTAGTATCCTCATGTAGCAAAATCACCTCTGATAACCTGTTCTAGTTGCATTTTTGATGTCAGCATGTACCCTGAAAAACCAGCTTTTCATGTTTGAAAGCTCATTTTAAAGTGTTTTTCAGGTAGTTTGATTAACAAACTCTCATTATTTATATTAAGATTAATTATTCAAATGTATTAATCATTGTTTTGCTTGTGCATCACTGCATTTAATTTATGCTGATGTAAATCAAAAATATATTATTACTGTGTAAATTATTATATTACAGAAATAAAATCACTAACAACACACAAAAACCCCAGTGCAAAATCCAGATATACTACATTCTCACAGCAATGTAAATATAGGAGAAATGATTGCCTTAATTGTCCTAAAAATTGCCTTCGTATTCTTTATACAAAACCTGCATTCCTTTTTCCTTTTAATTAACCGATTTTGATTTTGGTGTGAAATGTGACGTGTTTTTATCTACACTGGGGTTATACACACACGCACACACAAGAAAGATTCACTTCTGAGGCTCATATAAGAAACAGAAACTCTATTCTCTATTTGATGTTTATTGTCAGCCTCAAGAAAGAGGCCACTATAAGAAATAAGCCACCAGGGGCTGTACTTCAACTCTTCACAGGCTATTTACAATATAGTGCCAGAGACAGGGCTTAACAGAGGCCGTCCTTGATTTATTAGCTGTGATGACGAAATCTGCGCAGTCTTTCTGCAATCAGGAGGTGTTAACAGTTGTCACAGAATACAAAAATTAAACAGAAATCTCAACTGGACATGTGCAATGTTTTGTATTTTTGTACATGCGATCACTTTCAGCTCAAGTATTCAGAATCAGATCTATTGACCGATGAGCCAAAAGAAAACAAAGACAGTTTTCAGTTCACATTGTACTTGTTTCATAATGATTCACTGAAAATACTCATCTTTTGTAACCCTAATATTCATGATGATATATCTTTAAGGGCCATGTTCTGACATACCACCGTCATAATAATTTCTCATGAACAAATATGAAAGATTTACATGATGGTCAGCATCAAGTGTTTAGTGTCAGAAAATGGCTTGTGGTAAATTCTCTCACTCTCTCTCTGACACACACACACACACCTCTAGATAACATATAACCACACAAACACAATCACTTTAGCTGCCTGAGGCCACTCTCGGCTCATTCGATTCTGAAAAAGTCTCTGAAAACAACTCAGTGATGGAGTTTAAGATCTAGACTTTCAGCTCGAGAGCTGCTGCAGGGAACTATTTGAACATTACAATTTGTGAATTTAAGTCAACATGAAATGTTATTTACAACTCTTTTTAGCTTTTTAATAGGGATGCACGATATATCGGCCACCATATCGGTATCGGCCGATAAATGCAAATTTTTTCTGTTATCGGTATCGGCCTGATAAGAAAATTCGGTATCGGCCAAAATTTTCATATCGGTGCATCCCTACTTTTTAACATATTAAATGATAACAAAATTTACCCTAGGTACCAATTTAATTGTGTAAAGTGAACATTACATACAGGCGTACGTGGCGATCAAACGTTTGGAATAATTATGATTTTTAAATAGGTTTTTAAAAGTTGCCCCTTATACAAGGCTGCATTTATTTCATCGAAAATACAGTAAAAACAGCAATACTGTGAAATACAATCGCAATTTAAAATACTGCTTTCTATTTGAATATGATTTACAATGAAATGTATTGTTGTGATGGCGAAGCTGAATTTTCAATCATTATTGGTGCTCAATTATTATAGTTCTTATTATCAATGGTTCTTATTAAAACAGCTTTTGCGGCTTAATATTTTTGTGGAAACTGTCATACATTTTTTTTTATCAAGATTATTTGATAAAGATCATTAAACAGCATTTATTTGAAATAGATTTATTTTATTTTATTTGTAAAATTATAAATGCCTTCATTAACTGTCACTTTTGACAAATTGAATGCATCCTTGCAATAATAAATGAAATTGTTAATTTTTTTCTCTCTTTCATTTTTTTTTTTTATCATACTTGCCCCAAAATTTTGAGTGGTTGTGTATCACGGTTTTCATAAAAAATATTAAGGAGCACAACTGTTTTCAATATTGATAAGAAGAAATGTTTTTTGATAATGAATGTGACACTGATGCTGAAAATTCAGCTTTGCATCACAGGCATAAATGACATTTTAAAATATATTCAGATAGAAGAAAGCTATTTTAAACTGTAATAATATTTTACAATATTACTGTACTATTTACTGCATTTCAATCAAATAAATGCAGCCTTTTAAAAATATCCTAACTATTCCTAACTTTTGGCCACAAGTGTAAATGGGAAGGATTTTATATTTATTATTTGCTGTTATAGTCATAATATTAGTACATTAACACCCATTACATTTCTGTATTCCCTATTTTAATATACTTTTGAGGATGCACTGTAAAAAATGATTGTGATTTTAACAGTAAAAGACTGTAAAAATGCTACAGTAAAAACCTGTTAATTGGTTAACAGTAAGTTTCCATACTATATACAGTGAATAAATGTAATTACATTTAATGTAACTCTACAGTCAAATACTGTTAAAAAATATGGTTTTTGGAAGTGAAAAATAAAAAGTCATTGTATAATTTACAGTGAAAAACCGTAAATTGACACTCCCAGAATTCCCTGCATGACACTTCATATTTGATTGCTGTTATAGTCATAATATTAGTACATTAACACCCATTACATTTCTGTATTCCCTATTTTAATATACTTTTGAGGATGCACTGTAAAAAATGATTGTGATTTTAACAGTAAAAGACTGTAAAAATGCTACAGTAAAAACCTGTTAATTGGTTAACAGTAAGTTTCCATACTATATACAGTGAATAAATGTAATTACATTTAATGTAACTCTACAGTCAAATACTGTTAAAAAATATGGTTTTTGGAAGTGAAAAATAAAAAGTCATTGTATAATTTACAGTGAAAAACCGTAAATTGACACTCCCAGAATTCCCTGCATGACACTTCATATTTGATGTTTTTTTTGTTGAAATAACTCTCTTAGTTTTTTCTTATCAGTTGCGTACATTAGGGTTTAATCTTACATCTAATGTCATTAAATGAAAGTTTATTGCATTATTTCAGTATCATGTGTCACCGTGATGGGGTTTAGTGTTACTTGTGAATGGCACTGTGCACCTTCTATATATAAGTATTGCCCTCCTCAGCTCGTAGAAAAGCTGTTTATGATGAGCTTTGGTTCATCATGTGACTTTCTCATCACCACCAGTTTTTGGTGGTTATCAGTGCATTTCAATTGTTCATAACAGATATTAGTTCTTCAACATGTTGGTTTATTAACATTACATCAGTTAATGAAATACGGTATTTTATTGTGAATTTAAGTTAAGTCTGTAAAACCTCAAATGTTGCTACCATATTTTTTACGGTGAAGTTCTGGCAACCACAGCTTGCCGGTATTTTACCGTAAATGTCAGATTTTTTTTTTACAGTGTGGGCAAATTGTTACGTTTATAAAACATTACAAAGACACATAAAGTGCACAGCATCATGTAATAAGAAAGTAAATATAGTCATTTTCATTTCATGTTGACTTCAAAAGAAAAAAGTAAATTAGTGCATGTAAACAACCAAAGAAAGTGAACGGAATCACTGCGGGCCACATTTCTTCATCCAAAACCATGAAGAATTCAAATCTACTGACTAAATTCATCATTTAGCAATCAAGCAGCACTTAACCCAGTTCTTTTTGATATTACATGAATCCTAACATGCATATAAAACCCATTACGAGCAACAAAACCTCTTCACCAAACCACAACCATATACTTCCCCCAAACCCTATTTACAATGGCAAAAACAGAAAATAAAACATTTTGTATCAGGACGTGCTCTTGAGGTGTATGGGGATTTACTGAGAACAGTTTTGGCATATTTGTATCAAATGTGTGCACAAAAATGTTTGTACAATACATAACATAAGACAAATCCACAAATCTTGATTCATTTTTTGCATCATAAAAAGAAGATATAGTATTTTGATATTATGTACAGTGTAAGAACTATATTAACATTGTATAGTTACCATTCAGTCACAAGTTGATTGAGAAAGGCACAGCATTAACCAATTGTTGGTTAAGCAAAACTAGTCCCCCTCACACAGAGACACACGCATATGCGCACACAATGAAAACAACCTTCAATGAGGTGCCATTTGGTTAGAAAATGAGCAGGTTAGTCCATTTCCAGCACAGAAAAGAGCTGTGAGCTGAAAATGCCAAAGACGAGGGTGGCAAAGCAAGAATCCACATGGAAACAATGTGTTAAGTGATTGCCTGCCTGTCAAATATTTAACTAGCTCTGTAGTTGAATTCAATATTTTAATGAAGTTCAATGCCAATTAGTAGCCATTTTCAGACTTGTGAGGATGGCATCTCTTAACACATAGTGGACTGGCAGAGAGAAATGTTTGAGATGAATGTAACTTATAAGTCCCTGCAAGCTGATTTAAAAGCATTCCTTTATCTGACATATCTCTATTATTACTATATCAGCCCAAAATCACTCAGAATGAGACCAAATTCAACACGCCGGCAACAAAGTGCCACAGACACGCATGAATCAAGCTCTTTGCCACTGTACAAACATGTTTTTTTTGTAACTGGAAACATGGCAGACATTCACACAGCTTTTCACAACCCTAATTTTTCTTCGTCTCTATTTACACAATTAACAATGATTTTGGCAAAGAACTTGTAGCGTGTAAAAGCAGCTATGAGTGAATCTCACAAAACCGGTCAAAATGACGTCTGGGTTTAATTGGACACCAAAATCAAAAGAAAATGAACCAGACATTTCATAAAATATATGTATATATTTTTAAATAAGAAGATTAAGCCCGTTTTGGCGACCATTAAGATTTTTGCACTATTTTCAACATAAATAAGCACATTGTAAAAAACTAAAGATTTTATTTTATTTAAATAAGAGTATTTATATGTCATGATAGTAGATTTATACTGAATTTAATTCTTATTATTTTTAATTAAAAAAACATTTAAATTCAAAAGTATATATGTATCATGGTAGTAGATGTGTGTTTTATTTTAACAATGCAAGTTTATTTGTATTTATTTATTTGCGTTGCATTAATACGAATTTGGGAGTTAAATGTGCTTAAATTTCACAATCCAAACATTTGTATTGGTACTTAATAGGCTTTCTTTTTTCTCTCTCTGCATTTTGAAGTAGAAGTTATAGCCTAGGTTTTGTGTGATTCACCCATTAGTTTTCAAGCCAATCCAACCCACTGTTCCTCTGCTCAGCAGTAGCCTGGCAATTATGTTTTCGTCTTCTTCCCCAAGATTGAGCTGTCTAACAGGAAAAAGCTGTTTAAGCCAAACAGGGAAGGGAGGTGAAGACGTTTGAGAGAGATATGCCTACAAAGGTGAAAAATGCCACAACATGTTTTTGGTAATAAAAAAGAGAAAAACTGAAAACCCCAAAACCTACATCTACGTCTCTCTGGTTTGTGCTTTCCAAATGAATTAAGTGCCGACAGCCATGTTCATGAACGACCTAGTCTGATCCAGATGGTTAAGTGTTCACAGAAGCACCCAAACCCACAGCAGCAGAGAGAAACGAGAAAGAGGAGAGAGTTAGGACTTCCACCGAGAGAGGTAAAGAGCGATTAATGGAAGGGGACACAGATTTCATTTCACCAGCACTGACTTTGGGAGGAAAGCTTCCAGCTCCGAGTCTCCTCCTTCGCTGTGACTAGATGAAGATGTGCTGGAAGTGCTGGCGTTTGGTTTGGGGAGGCTGTACATATAGACGGCTCCTATGACCAATCCTGCGCCCAGCGTGAAGATCAGGTCCACGTGGAAGCCAAAGAGGTAGACGGACGTGATCGTGGACACAATGATAGAAAAAGAGGTGGCAAAGCCTTTGAGAATGTTGTCCGCGTATTTGACGACAACAGCTACCAGAAGGCCGCCGAAGGCCTGGTTGAAGATGACGCCCCACACCATGGGTGTGTAGCCGAACAGGAAGCCTTTCTCGGCGATGGCGGCGCCGTCGTTCCACCACATGCCGAGGAGACCCAAAACTGTCCCGAAGATCCCGAGCTGGATGTTTCTCATCCACACCGAGGCCGAGCTGCCCTTCAAGATCTTCTCGAAGTAAACGCCGGCAAACCCGGAGGATAGGCAAGAGATTATCACGGACACCAGGCCCTTGAAGTAGTTCTGGTTGGTGCTGGTCAGAGCCTCCTTCTGTTTTCCGCCCTCCTGATCCACCTGGACGATCGCCACACCGGCAAACAGCAGCATTAGAGAGATCCACTGGATTTTAGATAGACTCTTGTGCAGCATGAGCACTGAAAACAACGCTGTGGTCAAGATCTTCAACTGATACGTGACCTGCAGAAAAGAAAAAAAAGTGTTAGATGGAAATTTTGAATTTGTTCAAACTGTTTCCATTAATGGATTTAAAACTGTAAATCAACCATATGCAGATATATATGAGCGTTCATTACTATGCACTGTTACATTGGTGCATATAAACTAATTATAAAATACAACTTGGCCCTGTGTTTATTTAGTCAAATGTAGCATAGAAACAGTGTTGGTATTGTTTTCAGTAATTGAAATAAAGTTAAAATAAAACAAATCGTATTAAAGTGAAAAAAATAAAGCTATATGTGACCAACCATGGACCACAAAACCAGTCATAAGGGTCAATTTTTTTAAATTGAGATTTATACATCATCCGAAAGCTTAATAAATAAGCTTTGATAGGATAGGATGATATTTGGCCAAGATACAACTATTTAAAAATCTGGAATCTGAGGGTGCAAAAAAAAATTCAAATCAAAATATTGAGAAAATCACCTTTTAATGTTGTCCAAATGAAGTTCTTAGCAATGCATATTACTAATCAAAAATTAAGTTTTGATATATTTACGATAGGAAATTTACAAAATATCTTCATGGAACATGATCTTTACTTAATATCCTAATGATTTTTGGCATAAAAGAAAAATCGATCATTTTGACCCATACAATGTATTGTTGGCTATTGCTACAAATATACCCCAGCGACTTAAGACTGCTTTTGTGGTCCAGGGTCACATATAGAAGTTTTAAAAAAGCTAATATAAAATGACAAACTCACAAAACAAAATGAGTAACCACTTTAAATAAACTGAAAATATGAATGTATTTCAATATGCTAATAAGTACTATAATATCATAAATAAAATACTAATATTATACTAAAATAAAAACATGCCTTTTAACAAGAATTCTCACGCATTTTAATTCCTACAGAAAACATTTTAAAACTACTTGGCTGCAATGGCTGTTTAATCAAAGAAAGGATAGAAAGTAGTTGTGTAATACTAAATTTGGACTAACATTATAAGCAGACTTAAAGACTTGTAGCTTCATTTTTAGTTGAATTTTGTTGTCAGTTTTTTTTCTTTTTTTAATTGTAGTTTTTTGGCCTAATAACATCTGGCAAAGGGACTACCAATGAAAACTAGCCTTTGGGCTAATTTGGGTACATTTACATTCATGAATGTTGATTAATGTACACTGTCCCTTTTTTGTGAAATAAATAAATAAATAAAAATAAAAGTGTCACAAAAGTCTACAGTTGGGGACGTATGAAGTGAAAGGAGTGAATCTCTCAGGAGAGAGAGAGAGGTGAAGGAAGGGCATAAACAAATTTTGGAGCAGTCTCACCTGGAAAGTGGCTGCTGGTAAATTAGAAATGGCCACATACTGCAGGTTGTTCTGTAAAGTGTAGATGAGTGATGGAACTGCTAACTTCAGTGTGTCCAAATACTGTACGACTATAGAGTCATACAACAACGATACAAAGGACTTCACATTACCTGCATTTACAAAAAATAAGAAAAGGCATATTATCATCAGACATACTGCTGCAATACTACTACTTAAAATATATGTGTGACCACAAAACCAGTCTTAAGTGTCAATTTTTCGAAATGGAGATTTATACACCATCTGAAAGTTGAAAAAATACGCTTTCCATTGATGTATGGTTTGTTAGGACATACAACTATTTGAAAATCTGGAATCTGAGAGTGCAAAAAAATCTAAATATTGAGAAAATCGCCTTTAAAGTTGTCCAAATGAAGTTCTTAATGCATATTACTAATCAAAAATTAAGTTGATATATTTATGGTAGGAAATTTACAAAATATCTTCATGGAACATGATCTTTACTTAATATCCTAATGATTTTTGGCATAAAAGAAAAGTCGATAATTTTGACCCATACAATGTATTTTTGGCTATTGCTACAAATATACCCCAGCGACTTAAGACTGCTTTGTGCTCCAGGGTCACATATATATATATATATATATATATACATACATTAATTATTAGTAGTACAAATTTTTTTTAATGTTTTTGTATCTTATGCTCACCAAGGCTGCATTTATTTAATCGAAAACACAGTCAAATTGTTTAAAAAATAATTTAAAAATGCTCTAGCTAAAAATAACTGTTTTTATCTGAATTTATTTTAAAATGTAATTTATTCCTGTGATGCAAAGCTGAATTTTCAGCATCATTACTCCAGTCTTCAGTGTCACATGATCCTTCAGAAATCATTCTAATAAAATGATTTAATGCTCAAGAAAGATTTATTATTATTATTATCAATGCTGAGAACAGTTGTGCTGCTTAATATTTTTGTAACTGAGATACATTCTTTTCCAGGATTTTTTGATGTATAGAAAATTCAAGCATTCACAGCGTTTATTTGACAGAAATCTTTATAACATTAAAAATATATTTACTGTCACTTTCGATCGGTTTAATGCAAACTAATATAAATCTTAATTTCTTACATTAAAAAAATCTATATAGATTAGTGTTGGGCACTTCAGACACACAAACATAACATGAATGTCATTCAAATATTAAGGTGGCATTTCTTTTCAAATGCATTTTGAATCAATAAATATATATATATTGTTCAAATAAAACACAAAAAGTATTGTAAGATAAGACATTAACCTTTGAATCACACGCTGCACGTAACGTGCCACAATGTGATTTCAGTGAACGTACCTCTCTTCTGTATCAGGATGATGACCACACAGGTGGAGACTTTAAGAACTTCTGCCATTACCACGGCTGATGTGGTGTAGAAATGATCTCCCGGCAACGTCCGCACGTAACGGATGCTGAGGATGAGCGATGCATTCTGGATCACCAGAATCGCCAAACTGATGTACTTCAACTTCCTATTGACTGCAAGAGACATAATCTTTTAGTCAAAACTAGCTTTTATTACTGACGGTGTAAAACCGGATAACTGGAGGCTAAATTAACGGATCTGAACACTAACGTCAGTTTAATGGCAGCATTTCACTTTTCCGAATGAGGCTAGTCAATGTTCAGTTTGTGTTTTCAGTTAGGACACACCTAAACGTCGACAGCGGGCGGATGTTTGCTCAATCCAGTGGCAACACCCTGATTACAGACACTTCATTCATTCACCAAAAACTTTCCTTAGTTCATTTTTTAGCTAACGCAGTTCACTGGCAAACTAGGTACCAATTACCAAACAGCCAAAACTACAACGTTATCTGACTTAACATTAAAAGGTGAGAAAACAAAAGATATCAAAGATATAAATAAAGCCAAACATTTGACAAATCGCACTAAAAAATACAAAACAAATAATTATTTACCATGGTGTTATTATTAGAGAGATTACGTACAATCAAGTTTCTCGAGACAGCCTGTGGACACTATAGACATGATGAACAGGAATTGTGAAACGTATAAACTTGTTTTGCTGGTTTATAGTGCGCTGATGTCTTTTTTTTTTCTGTAAAGAATGTGATAAATGCAGACGGACTGAGAAGTGCCACACACCCTCTGTCACAACGTCAAAACCCATCTGACAAAGAAAAAGAGCTGCAAGATGACAATGGGCAGGACAAAACGTTTCAGTTTATTTACTGACTGAGGAAATTCAAAGTGCTTTACATGAGAAAAGCACTGCCACGATTAACCCTTTTGGTGCATGACATTCATTACAACAGAAGTCCTAGAGAATTTTTACACATACACAGCAGTACAAAGACAGTGAATAAAGTCTGGTGCAATGCATTACGTATGTGCTAACAATTTATATTTTTACAGCATTTAGTAATCTAGATTGTTGATTTATAAATATAATATTGTTTTTGTTCATTCATGTTTGTTCACAATAAATGGTTAACTTCTACATCTTGAGATATAAAGTCTATGTAGAAATTAACACAGAACTAACCTTAACAAAAACTAAATTAGATTAATAAAGGCTGTACAAATGTCCATTGTTAGTTCTTTTTTTTTTAATAACAATAATAAAACAAAAAATGTGTTGTTAAAGGTCCCATATTGTCAAAACTGAAATTTCCTGGCTTTTTTCACGGTAACTGAGGTCTAGGTGCTATGTAACTACCATATAAGTTTCAAAACAGTCAGTCCACAGTCAAATGCACACAGCCTGCATAAAGTAGCTGTGATTTTTCACGAACAGTTGTGACTTCCGTAAAAAGTTGACGTCAGAACTACACAGTCACCGCCTTCAGTCACCACCCCGAGCACCGCCCACAGTCCCACTCTCCTTTTGCCAAACTCCCAGACAACATGGCGTCCATGCCATTGCTGAGCAACAACAACACGGAAACATGTCGAAAAGGTTAACTTTAACCACGAAACCAGATCGGCCGACCTGTAACGTTACACTCTCACTCAAAGGATGGACGATCTGACAGGATTGTTACTATGAGGTGGATCACATCTAACGT